TCTTCATCTGAACCTCTTGAATGCTTATGATACCATTAACAAAAGGTAACCCCAATTGATCACTGTTGTAGCATTTCTATGTCCAAATAAGAATGAAATTAGAAAGAATCACAAAGGTTTAGAGAGAATTTTCATGTTCAATATAATTTTCCATTTGACTACACACCTCTGTTCATGGTCCATTTCAAGACCTTTCTCTTCAACATGCCTTCGGTTATCTTTCTCTTCCCCACCGCCTTGGCTCCCACCTCAGCTTGGGTGCTGTTGTTAAGTGTTTTGGGATGTCCTCTCAATGTGAAAGGTGCTATACAAATGTAAATGGAAATCAAATGTATTATTTTTAGCCATATACATTTACAGAATATTAGTCATGCAAATGTTATATGTGTTTATTTTTTTAAAAAATCATTACTCAAGGAATTAATGTGTTAATATTTGAGAGTTAGCAGTTTAAGTTATTTGTATGTAGAATTTATTATGCTGTCATAATGTGAAGAATTTACTAGTTTAAGTACCCTTTAACTTAAAAACATTTAAATTCCTAGCACATATTTGATTCAGAATTCTTTAATACTGCTAATGTCAGAAATAGTGCTCTGGTTCGAGAAAACAGGAAGTGATTTCCATAGCAACTAGCACAGTATGAAAATGTGAACTTAGTTCATGAATGGAAAAACAGAAAATTGCGCATTCTAAGCTATCACTTTAAAGATCCAAATCTCTAACCACTTATTCCTGTCCAGACCTAAGAATGTGCACTTTCAATGTAACAAATATTATTTACATATTTATCCTAATTGCACTTTGCATGCACTTTGCATGCAATAGTATATTGTTATGAGCTACATACAGTTGGATCTTTACAGTTGTTTCTGTGTTTTTCCTTCAATCAGAATTTCTGTTAAAAAGGGCTAAAAATCCATTGCTGCAATTTGCCTTTCTTTATCCAGTTGAACATACTGAAAATACAGTGCAATGCGCTCTGCGAAAAGATTGGAAACTTAACCCAAGGGCTAAGGTTGTTTTAAAGTAATTTGTTTGAATGGCTCTTTTGCAATGAATGTTGCCTCCACACAGTCACAAGCTTATTTATGAATTTTATTCTTTTGAACCGTTTTTATGGATGGTATCATTGGTGCAGGAATTACTCCTTTTCTGAATTTATATTTAACAAGTTAACCAAATTTAAATGTACTCTTCCTGAAGACTCATCCAAGCTGAATGATTATTTTTTCACTGCAGGCTCTACAATGAAAAGGGGCATAAAGTACATGCTTGTTGATATTGATTTACTGGCGCGACTGCTGCCATGCATAAAACCCATTGGCCTTTGTGCCTTTGGGAACTTGAGACATACTTTTATCCTACTGGAAGACTCATTGAAAGCCATAATAGTTTAAATGTAAATTAACTAAAATATCCAATTATTTTAATTCTGTGGGAGTTGTGACACAGTAGTTCTTGTGATTTATCTCTTCAGCACTGTGAATGTCCAATGATCTACTTTCTTATCTTCAATCCATCTTTGTTTCAGGGATTTACACTGCAATCTACACTTAGTTGTGCTTTGATGAATAAATCCTCTATAATACTTTAATTCCTTTGTGGTTTAAGAGCAAATACAACGCATTGGGATTTTAAATACGCCAAAGGGAATTTTTCTTGAAATTGCATTTAGTGAATTAAATAAACCAAAGAATTAACAAAATAAAAATTCCCCAACTAAACAGAGTGGGCTTTGCTGATCTTGGGGATGGGGATGCACTTCCTTTCTTTACAGATACCATTCTAAATGTCTGATTTTGTTTTTATGGAGTCCTGTAGCGTATTGGTTAGAGCACTCACCTCGCAGGTGAGGACCTGGGTTCAATTCCCAAGCAGGGCGAAACATTAGGCAAGTTTCCTTACTCCATATGCCTCTGTTTACTTAGTAAGTTGGAACTTGGTTGTTAGTCGATTGGTGGATCGTTTTTCCGGGGTTAATATTTCCTTTTTTAAAAAAAATTTGGTCACTCAATCCATGACAATAAAATTTGTGTAGCGCTTTTCACGTCGGGAGGACGTCCCACAACTGTTTTGGGACACTGGCGCAATTGGCTACCATATTTTGTCCACAAAATATACAGTCGATTTAATTTACATAAATTATGTAAACCTCTTTGAGATGCCTCAAAGACATGATAAGGCGCTCTACCAAAAGCAAGGATTATTATTATTATATTTGAAATTAAAAAAAACTTTGTATAAAATTACCTTAGTCATAGATACAGTATATCCTATTCCTGGAGTCACTCTGTCCCATGATTTACCTCTTTGACCCACGCTTTTGGTTATCTTTTTTCTACCCCTCTCTGATAGCTACGCCGCTAGCTTTGAGGTATCCTCTCAATGTGAAAGCTGCTAAATAGATGTACAATGTATTGTATTGTTCCAATTATATATGTGTTTTTTTTGTATACTTAAGTGTTATAATTACAGATTATAAATTGTAAATATGGCCCAACCAAAGTAATTGCGGGAATACTTTGTCAAAATATTGAAAAATAAAGCAGTAAACTATTATGGTATAATAAGAAATGCAAAGGTACAGATATTTAAAATGGTTAAGATGCTTAAAATTCTGATTTTAAGCAACCTGGACTTATATAGCTACCCTGTGTGGAGGACGCTATATAAGTGCAAGTTGTTGTTGTTGGTTCCCAAGTATTCTGTCAATGAGTCTGTCAACAAAATAAGCTTGTTACAATATAGTCCTTAGTATTCTTCGAAAAGAATAGTAGTAATAGATCAATCTGCAGGGTTCTGGCACGAGGGTTGTATAGGTTGCAAAATACCTTTCAAAATACGTACTGTGTCTACTTCACTATCACTCTTCCCCCTCACACATGCCATTTCTCTCATTCTCATTCACATTCTTACTTGCTATCTTGCCCCTCTCTCCCTTTTCTTACTCTCTGTTGTCCATCATCCCAATGTGAAAAGGCACTATATGAATGCAGTTTGTTGTTGTACCATTCCATGACATCTCTTACATTCAGACTTACTCACACTCTTACCTAGTCTATGGCTCTGTAATTTATACGTTTTGCGCTACATGTTGTCAATTGAGAGGGAGCAGGAACGAAGAGCGAGAAATCTAATAAGTGAGACCTCTACCAAATGTGTGAGACCTCTACCAAAGTTATACACAGATACAATTCCGAAATCACTGAGAAATGAATGCAGAACTGTAGGCATTTGAAACTGAATGAGGAACTAAGTTCTTTCTGCTACCCTTGTGGTCTTCTGGGAGTTCCTAAACGGTTTCAAAACCAAAGAGAACTAGTCTGCACGTTGCCATATATGGCAATATAATATAGCTGGGCATTGAGCCAAACCTGGTTATTCACTTCCTGTTCTAACAAGGAAGAGGCTGAGAGCAGACAAGCATTATCCCTAGTTTAGAACTCAAATTAATCTCAGTTCAAGTTCCCTGCAGAACAGTTATCTATTTTATTTGCAGTGGGTGCTTACCAAAATTTAATTTGTTTAATCCTTGATTTTCTTAGTGGTGTTTTGGATGTAGTAGAACATTTTGGAGCAGGATATGCTCCCAGAACAGCCAGGAATGTTCATCTCTGAAAATCCAACTTAAACTCTAGTTTATTGGCATTTACATAGATTGATATAGCATGGAAACACACCATGCTACCCAACACGTTCATGTTGCATTTATGCAGACAAACCCCCATCCCTCCCCATTCCTCTCACCTAAACCCATCTGTTCCCTTCTCCCTTATGTAAGCATCACTGAGGCTGAGATAATTAGGTGCTGTAAGATAATAAGTGATTGAAATATTGTTTAAGAAATATACTCTTTGAACCCCCTTATTTCTATTAAAATATGTTCTTCAATAACTGTTGCTCCCACAGCAAATTGCAATGGTCTTAAGCTGGCTCTTCCGTGGAGCCCAGAAGAAATTGTTCCAATACTCTGAACTATATTCAGCAGCACAAATATGCAATTTCCTTAATCTGTAGTTAAGATTGCAGGAAATTGTTCCTATTGGGATGTTTAATTATCCTAGGTGAGCGGCTCTTCTGGTGGTAGTTTTGTTTGGAACAGATACAGAGCAATGGATATTCATGTCACTGTATGAAATGACAATGAATACTCGTTCTTGCTGAATTCAGTTTTACAGTGATAAACTTGANTTTTTTGATATTAAACAAATCCAGTTCTACGTGTGAAAGGCTGTTAATGTTCAAAATGTAGGTAATTTTGACACTAAGTGCTGTTACCTACATCAATATATGGATAGATTGAGCTAGGTTGCAATGCAGTTTTCATTGATCTTCTCAAAAGTGTAAAATTTGCTATATTTGTAATTTCAAGATGGCAAAGAATTGTGGAAATATCTTAAATTGAGTGTTAAGCATTTAATAACTGCAGAAAACCATCTTCCAAATAAACGTTGACTTTAAACATTTTCCCAAACTCTGCACAATCTTAAAAATTATTATAAAATGCACTTATTGGTTAACAACTAGACAGAATTTTGGTGCATATTTTAGACTATAACACTAACTTTGCTCGCTGATTCAGATTGCAATCGTATTGAAGGAGTCCTGTAGCTTAGTGGTTAGAGCTCTCGCCTCGCAAGCGAGAGGACCTAGGTTCAATTCCCAGCAGGGCAAAACATTAGGCAAGTGTTTCTTACTCCATGTACCTCTGTTTACCTAGCAGGAAGTAGGAAGCTGGTTGTGGCGGATCGCTTTTCCGGGGGGAATAATTCCTTTTTTTAAAAAAAAATTTGGTCACTTAATCCACGACTGTTTGTGGGACACTGCTGTGCGCAATTGGCTGCCGCGTTTCGCCCACAAAACATACAATCAATTTACTTTACAGTATATTCTGTGAAGCACTTTGAGACATCTGGAAGAAGCAATAACGTCTATATCAAATGCAAGGATTATATAATAATGTGCTCAAACATTTCTTTGATGTTTGTGTTTTTCAGGCTTTAGACAAAGATAGAACAATACTCCAGAAAATGAAGAAATCAGTCAAAGCACGATTTAACTCTGGTCAAGGTAAAAATAAACCATATTGCATTCATAGAGAGAACGAGACTGGTATGAATCATCTGTGTCATTATGCAGTAATGAAAATTGAATGATTTAGCAATGATGTGCAAGATTCAAAATTGATCGTGGATCAAAATAGTGCATTTTAAATGTGCATTTTTTACAATTTAAAATCATAAATCTAAAGTGAATAACACATTCTCTCAGAATTGGCAGCCATTTTCAGGCAGGTTAGAAGATGCTTTACTTCACAGTTTACCTGTGCAGAGACTGTTTTCAAATTGCCATGTACATGATTCTTGGTGAGACGGATACCCACTGAAGGAGCAAAGCACTGAGCCAGCATAGCAGTTGACTCTGATGACCACTCTCTTTGAATGAATTGCATTGGTACAATTGGTAATCCAAATTCAGTAGTTTGCACTATCTTCATTAACTCTTGCCTATTTCAAATGTTATGTCAGCTTGGCATGTACTGGCCTGACCCTGTCCCCGCCCTGCTTGCCCCACCATTGGTGGTTGGGTCTTCAGCTTTTCTGCCCTCGCCCTCTGGAACTCCATCCCAGATTCCCTTCACCTCGGCCACTCATTTGCCCCCTTTAAGACCTGTCTCAAGACCATGCCTTTGGTCATCCTCCCACCTCCACCCCCTCCCCTTGCCTTCCATTCCTCTTGACTCCAGCCACCAGCTCGAGTGCAAGCCCTCGACTATCCAGCGCCTTGGGATGTCCTTCAAATGTGAACATAAATGCAATTTGTTATTTTTGCTGTTTAAATGCAATTTGTTGTTGCTGCATGTTAGTGCTAATAATGGGAATTCAGTGCCATATTTCATGCTTGTAAATAGCGAACAGAAAATGTTTTAGCTTTTCCTCATCTATTACATTATTCAGTTTGTTTGCAGGATTATTAATTTTATTTCTAGCCCCACCCCATTCCCCTCCACCACTTCCAATATTTTTTTTCTGGGCAAGCACATACAAGGTGGTTAGGTATCTGCAGTTAACTATTGTTACCCCTTATGTGCTGTCCAACATAGGTTTAACAGCTAAACTATTGCCAATCACATTTTGGAATCATCTGAATATTTGCTTGTTTTTGTTTCCTTGTGGTGATAAATACATGAACACAATGTTCATAAACTAACTGGCTCAGCTGGCATCCTAAATTTGCCACAGCAAGTCCCTTTTTTTAAAAAGACTATTTCACTCTGCTGCCTGCATTCTCCATACCCACATCTCACCAGTTCTGGCCAGGCTCCACTGGCTCCCGAACGGCTCGACTTCAAGATCCTCACACTCGTGTTCAAATCCCTTCACTCTCTGGCAACTCCCTACCTCTCCGACCTGCTCACTCCCCAATGCACCACCTGGCGCTTCCACTTGACTAGCACCGACCTACTGCTTGTCCCTTGCATCCTCCGCCCCAAGGTTGTGTTTTCAGCCACTACACCTTGAAGCTCTGGAACACTCCCTCAATCCCTCCGCCTTGCCCCATCTCTCCCCCTTTTCAAGACCTGCCTGAAAATCTTCCTCTTCGACTGTGCTTACGGTCACCTCTTTCTCCTCCCACCCAGCTCGGAGTGAGGCTTCGCCACTGTCAAGCACTCTGAGACACTACACTGCACTATATAAGTGTCAGCTGTTCTTGTACTCACATATGGAATCCATCGTACTGACACAGGCCATTCAGCCCAACTAGTTTGACCAGGGTTTATATTCCACATGAGCCTCTGTCCATCCTAACATTTTTATTTGTACTTATTTTATTTATTTGCAGAAGACATGTCTTATCAGGAAACGTACATTACTGAGCTGGAAAAGTTGGCAGTGAACTTCTACAGCAACGAGGAGTCAAGACTGGCTGATGCCTTCGGTAATTTTTCAGAATCCTCCAAAGAGCTGGTGACACCAATGAGAAACCTGGTATGTTGTGTAATCATCAGCTCTGAAAAAAGATAGTAAACCTGAATAGGGCCAATGCAACTCCTATTAAAGGTGCACAGGAAGCTTTAAAAGTTCCATTCACCAGCACTATATCGACTTTTGAAAAAGTTCATGTTGAGGCAGATACAACATCTGTTATAGCAAGAAACTTTGTAACATTTTGTTCATTGCTATGTAAGTAATACAAATTTTTAAAAAATATTTTATAAAGTGCCAATGGCTTTTTTATTGACTGCCGTGTCAATTTAATCTCTGTTTAAAAACTCCAAACAAAATAAAACATTTAGTTTTCTCAGGGCAGTAATGCCCTTCGAGAAATAGCCCTATCTGTCCAGCATTCACTCAATTTGGACTTCACTGCCTATAAAATAGTTCTGCACTATTGTTGTAAACCAGGGCTACAAATACCCTGGAACCTTCCTCAGCTGAGCTGTTGAAGGAGCTTCACAAAATGTTGATTGATAAATATCACAAGAAAGGTCAGGATGAAGAAATTTGTCCCATTTTTACCTCACTCTTCCAGAATACCCACTGATCTGTTAGCCGCAATTATGCTTCCTAGCATCCTTCTAACACTTATGATGATGTTTTTGCTTTCCAAGGCCTTGATGATCTTATATTTCAGCGACCAGAACTGTACCAGATCTAAGCACTTCAGCAAAGACTTCTGGGGATTGAACTTAAAACAATTGTGTGCAATATGAAGTAGATTACATATTTGTCCTTTTTGTGATTTCTGACAGAATCATAGAATTATATAGCACAGAAGGAGGCCATTCGGCTCATCGTGTCTGTGCTGGCTCTTTGAAAAGAGCTTCCAAATCAATCCCATTCCCCCGCTTTCTCTACATAGTCCTGCAAACTTGTCCTCCTCAAATAATTAACTACTTCGCTCTTAAAAGTTGTTATTGAATTGGCTTCCACCACCCTTTCAGGCAATGGATTCCAGATCCGGACAACTCGCTTTATCATAACTCTTTGCTTCTGCTATATCCTTGTAGTGCATTCTCACTCAGTTGTATCCTACATGCATTCCTTCTCTACTAGTTCAGGTTTGCTGGTTCATATATAGAGATTTTTTTTCCCCACAGAGTAGTGGAATGTGGAACAAGCCCCCCCACCCCCCAAGTATTTGCTGCTGCATTGACTAGCTGCTACAAAAAGAACTGAAAAGTATCTGCTTGAGCAGTTTGGGAAGTTAGAGGGTGGGCACTGACTCAAATGAACAAATATAGATGAAAACACACAATGGTTTCTCTGCTTCTGAGGCCAGGTTGGGGGAGAATGTTCTCTGTAGAGGAAAGTAAGCCAGGGTTGAATAGTAGCAATGTGAATATCCTTTTTGGTGGTCTGTGAAAGGGCAAAATAGCCCTTTCTTGTACCATGCTGTCTGATATTCTGATATGTTTTTGTTAATATAGACAGAGCTCTTCACTGAACTGTCTGCCATACCAAAGTACAGGCTTGTTCATATTACTAAACCATCTAATTCCTTGAATAACACGAAAGGAGAAAGCATTTGCAATTTGAATTTTCGTTATTTCCAGATAAATTGATTTTTAAAGAAGAGCTCCTTCGGAGATCCCCAAAAATCAATTAATGACATGATTGAATTACGTTAATTGGATATAATAATAATAATCCTTGCATTTGATGTAGCGCTTTTCACGTCTTCTAGACGTCCCAAAGCGCTTCACAGAATATACTGTAAAGTGAATTGACTGTATATTTGTGGGCGAACGCGGCAGCCAATTGCGCACAGCAATGTCCCACAAACAGTCGTAGATTGAAAATGACCAATTTATTATTGTTTTGTTTTTTTGGAGGGATTATTATTAGGTTCTGTGTGGAGTAAGGAAACTTGCCCAAGGTTTCGCCCTCTGCCTGGAATTGAACTCAGGTCTCTCGCTTGCAAAGCGAGTGCTCTAACCACTGAGCTACAGGACTCCACTCTTGGTTGCAGTGGGGTATCCCCCCAGTTGTTGTGACTGGTCTGCTTCCACACTTAGTCTAGTTCCAGATTTTATTTTTAACTTTCTCCATAACTTGGCACCGAGTGTGTTTAATAATAGAGGCTGCTAATAATTGACCTGGAAACTGATCAACTGCACTCATAATGGTGCCAGGTAGAAGACTTACTCCACAGGGAATCACCTTTACGGAAGTCATGGGAGCAGACTTCAATCTAGTTCTTCATCAGTGCAATAGTGTCTTTGGGCTCCACACAGGAGCTTTACAAATGATTTAATAGAAAAGGCAGATTTTCTTCTTAAAGACACATGAAATACTTCAAGATTTAAATTAATGTCAGTCTTACTCTTACCCCCCCCGCTCCCTTAATTTATGTAAAGTTACTTTGTGCTATCAATTTATTAATTGTATTTCTCCTTCAGTTACAGAGCATGAACCATATAATTTTTTTCCTGAATTCTCTGCTAAGAGGAGAGCTGAAAGGAGTTAAGGGGGTAAGACAATGTTCAGTTGATATCTTACTGATACAGCAAATAACGAGAAAATCTTCCAGTTTCAGTCACACTTTTGCTCTTCTCTCCCACCACCCTGCCCCAAGGATGGTTGAGAGACATTTATTTTCTCAATAGAATATTTCAAATAAAAAAGTTGTCATTAAAATATCATACAAGAAACAAAAGAAGCATATTTGTGAAAGTGTACAAAATGACATCCGGAGTGTTACACAACATGACCACAACATGCAGTTGTATGATATAATTCGGTGTCAGATTTATTTATGAGCCCACTCAATTAGTCCTCAATCGATCAAAACATGGAGTTCTCAATTCTGTTATAATTATAATCGAAACTTGTCATGGTAGTAATATGAAATTAAAATGTTGTTGTTCCTTAGAGCCAGAGCTACAATATAAACAACAAGATTACAGTTGTATACTTCAAGATTTAGAGATATCAAATATTTAAATAAGAATTTTAGCTGCTTTCAGAATTGATTCCTTTCAGTTCCTTAAATTGCACATTTTGCATTTATTAATTCTATGAACAAGAGCCCATTTTACAACTTCTTTTTACTAATTTTTGTTGTTGTTGCAGGATTTAAAGAAACCTTTTGACAAAGCTTGGAAAGATTATGAGAGCAAATTGTGAGTTTTCGCTTTCTTTCTGTTTGTGACACCAAAATCTGCACAAAGTTGGAAAAAGAATTTTCTTTGAGGGGGTTCTCATTTTTTTGTCTTCTACTTATTTCACCACACTCAATATTACTTCCACGATAAAGTCACCAGTACATATTTTTGTATTAATGTGGGCTGCTTAAATTTGGCTTCATAATATATAAATTATAACAATTGTCTTGTTTCGCCCACAAAATATATAGTCAATTCGCTTTACCGTATATTCCATGAAGCGCTTTGAGACGTCTTAACAACATGATAAGGTGCTATATCAAATGAAAGGATTATTATTACTATTATTATACCATCCATTCTTGTACAAAAATATTTATTTGCATTTGTGTTTCAAATACCATCACTTGTCATGGCAATTTTTAGTATATGTTGGAAAGTAGCAATTCTGATTTCCTTTGTTTCACTTGGTCAGTACAAAAATTGAAAAAGAGAAAAGAGAACACGCAAAACAGTATGGAATGGTACGGATTGAAGTGACTGGAGGTGAAATAGCAGATGAGATGGAAAAGGAACGGAAGATGTTTCAGCTCCAGATGTGTGAAGTAAGAATTTTTTATTTTCATTGAATGTTCTTAAGATTTGTTTCTTAGGAATTGTTTCAGTGAATAATTGATGTATTTAGCAATTTTAATTTTTTTCTTGAGTTTGTGCTTAAGATCGGAGATGTCAGTGCTGGGAAGTGGAACAAAGGTTACTATTTTTGGTTCTCACTGTTTGCAGTGAGCCACAGGGTCAGGCATACCATGACCAGAAGTCAGCACTTCAGAAAATGGAATGTGGAGCCTTTTGCAGAGGGCTAGTATCTACTCTGGATATGATGGTTGAGTTAGATATCTTACAACAATAGTCTACAAATTTACATTTATATGGGCAATTTCACGTCAGGAGGGTGTCCCAAGGTGCTTGACATTCCTGGCTTGGCACCTGAGCTGAGGGTTGGAGCCAGGGGAAGGTGTAGAGGGAAAAGGTGACCAAAGGCACAGTCAAAGAGGAAAGTTGTGACAGAATAGATGTATTTAAGGGGACGCTAGGTAAGTACATGAGGGAGAAAGGAATAGAAGACTATGCTAATAGGCTTAGTTGAGGATGAGCAGGAGAAGGCGCATGTGGAGCATAAACGCCGGCATAGACCAGTTGGGTCAAATGGCCGGCTTCTGTGATGTATATTCTATGTAAGAACTTGAAAGAGGTGAGGGAGGGGCGAGTCGAAGGAACTAGTTGCTTGACAAAGTGGTTGGAGCAGATAATACAGATGTTGTAAGATGAAGCTAGATATCCACGAGGGAGAAGGGAATGATATGGTTGCAAGCAAGGAGTAGGTGGAGACTAGTCGAGTATAAGCAATGGCACGTGCCAAATGGCCCATTTCCACGCTGTACAATCTTATGTAAATTATGCATTGAAAACTACTTTTCCGTCACTACCTGTTTGCTGATTAAATGTTTCTTGTTGAGATTTTTTTGGCAGTAGATATTGCATTTAACTGCCCAGAAACATGTCCAGTTGTTCCCTTCTAGCTTCAGATTAGCTTGTTTGCTGTCAAATATTGCTGACCTTCTGTTCATCAACTCCTCTGTCACTGTTTGCAGCTTCCTGTCTTTAAAACATTGGTTTCCTTGTGTTCTTTTTGACATTTTCCAGTAATTCTTCTAAACCAATTGTTGGCAAAGAATTGAATTGCATCTGTATCTGATTCAAGCATCCTAACTTCCTGCTTGTTGTGATCCCTCTTTTTGTTATTGATGTTAAAATAAAAATAATTCTCTTATTTCCCTGTTAGCACAGCATTTAGTTTTATCATGCACGATTTAGTGGGAACTGCTGCAAATTCTGTTTCTCGTTGATTTACAGGATTTTAGTTTTTTATAAAGCATGTTGTAATTATCATAAATGTGTGGAGTAGAATGAGGATAAATACTTGTATCTGTTTGTTTTAGTATCTGATCAAAGTGAATGAGATCAAGACCAAGAAAGGAGTGGACCTTCTACAGAACATCATCACGTATTACCATGCACAGTACATGTAAGAATAATCTATTATTTATTCTGCATCAACCTCTGTGCAAGACTTCCGATATTTAAAGATGTTTATGATATATGAGGCACTCAATACAGGGGTGTGCAATGTTCCATTTTCCAATATTAATCTTTGACTTTTAGCTTATGTTTCATACACACATTCCTACTGGGATGTAGACCTGCTTATTAAAATATGTACATGTGGGCAATCCAGTCCTCTGTATTGACAGTGTGTAGATTATATGACTTCTATTGCATGTCCATCATGCCCTCTGGTCCACCATCCGTGACCGTGCTTTCAGCCACTACGCCCCGAAACTCTGTAACACTCTTTCTCTATCCTTCTGCCTTGCCCCTTCCTTCCCCATCTTCAGATCACACCTGAAGAAGACCTTCCTCTTCAACCATACCTACGGGTACCTCCCCCCAGCTCGGCATCGTGCTTCGTCACTGTCGAACGATCTGGGACTCTATCCTGTGTGAGGGGCGATGTGTTGTTGTTGTTTACACTGCAGTTCTGCCAGCGACTGCGATCTTATTGCTGTATACAAATCCATCATAAGAAAACAACAACCTATCTTGAGACATCCACTTAAACCCTTTCAACCACTGGGTGCCTTCGCTCCCAGAATCTAGTACGGTTATTTAGGTGTGGTCAAATAAGGAAAAAATACCAAATCTACATGCATCTGTCGAACCAGAACTTGGAAACCATAGGATATGTAAACTGAAAGGCTGGACTTTATAACAAATAAGCCTCATAAATACAATGTAAAAATAACCTAAAAGGTATTTGTTATAATAGCTGCAATTGTTCTGGGAAAATGGCAAAAAAAAATACATTGAGATCATATCTTGGATGTGGTTTTGCTAAGTTAAACCACATTAGCTGTTATTTGTCTCATTTTTGGTGGTAACATAAAGAAAACAGCTATACTGTTACCAGCATAACTTGCTGAAAATTGATTTTTTTTTCTGAAAATGCTTGCCAGGACTCGTGAGATATTGAGTGTTTCAAACTTCTGTGTATTTTCAAATCCCATAAGCTGGGCACTAGGAAATTTATGATGGCGTAAAGTTCATGTTTGCTAGATATTTAAAGGTTTTGTGTCTCAACATACTGGGGGGAGTTGATGTCTTGATTGATGTCTCTTATTTAACTTTGTTAACACTAAAACATTGTGTATTTCTATCTCTGTTTCTTATAATAATATTATTGTTTCTTATCATGAATAGCTTGCTGATTTATAAACGGGAATTTCGTGCTTTTCAAACAAAATATCTGATAATGTATGCCTTTCTGAAGCATTTTATTTATTAGTAGAAAGTATTACTCCCCCCCCGCCCCATTGGAACAGTAAAGTTGGAATGTTAATTATAACTTGAATTATAATGAGCTGAATTGTATTGAGTTATAATATATTGTGGGTAAAATTATCCGGACCCACTATATCTTGCACTATTTATATGTCATGAATGTCTCACTGTCAATGTATATGCTAAATTTAGTACCCAGTATAATAGCAGAGATTGGAAACAGGGCAAGCTTTGTTAGTGATAGAGCTAGTATTTATTAAGCTTTTATTTAGACATCAGTCTGACTTGACCCCACAAGTGACATGCAATTCTCATAAAAAAGAGGTTTTTGTTTCTGAGTAAGCCCGCGAATGCCTATATATAGGCATTTATATATAAAAAAATCAGTGGCCAATTGTACAGAATGTATACTGTAATGCAAAGGGCCAACCATATTAATCCTATCTCACTTATCAGTGAGATGCATAATTAAGTGGGCAGTAATGATAATGCGTTTATAAAAATGAATGAAAAAAAAGCAAACCATTGATACTGTCAAAGAAAATGGATATTTCCTATGGAAATTAAGAGGAAGTGGTTCAATTATGGAGTGTTTCACTCTGCTGTGCTGCAGTTTCTTTCAGGAAGGCTTGAAAACAGCTGAGAAGATTAGGCACTATGTGGAAACACTTACAGCAGATTTGCAGAATGTGAGTACTAACCCTATCTCATGGTTACTGTTGGTGGAAAGCAGAAATATGGATCAGATGGATGAATTAATGAGCACTTCTACATTTTCTTTGGTACTTGAATTATCTATTATTACCACATCTGCCCATTGTTAGATTAACATGTTCTTCAAGCTCATACCTTCCATCTGGTCCACATGCTTCAACAATGCACTTGCTAATATTGCTCTATAATTGACCTTCAGCAAAGATTTTTGGGGTGACGGTCCTGCTTTTTCCTGTTAAACTTGATTTGGTTGAACTTGGCTAAGAAGTGAAACATACTTTTTAAGAGTAGGTGAGTTTAAATATTGGAAGATAACAGTTTGGACTGTTTAAATAGGAATTTTTTTTTAGACTTAGTTTTCTCCCAATTTTTTCTTTCTATAGAGCCTAATTCAACCAGGTGAGTGTTTGTTCCATCCCCGATGTTTGCTACACCATAATTAATAGATGTTAGGTTTACATGTAATTGGGCAAGTCACCTGTCACTTTTTTTGACCTCCGCTTCCCCCTCATACTTTTTTTACAATTTAACATGGGTTTACACATTTGTGACATTATGGCGCAATTAGCTTAATATTAGCACAGTCTTGTACAAGGTATGTTTTACCCTGGTTGAACTTAAAGGGGGTAGGATGGAGGTCAAATCAGGATGCCATTTGCCCCATTGTACATCTTTATAAAGAATGTCTTTGCTACTGTTTCTTAAAATTTAGACCATGATCCTTGAAGTAATGTGGATACATTGAGAAGGTTTTCTTGAAAATTAGAAAGTACAATTGGAAAAATGCTCAAGGAAAATAAAAATGGCAGAAATAATTAGATCTCCATCCTACCCCTTCCAAGTTCAACGTTTATTGGGATCTTTGTTCACAGAATGAAGTCACTTAGTGTGCCAATTGCATCATCTTCAGGGATACGTGCATAGCACCCTTGAAAAAAATCTGTGGGAGGCAAAAAGCAAACTGCCAAGGAACGCTTTAACTAAAAAGATTGTTGTCCATGGTTTTAGATTAAAAAGAACCAGGACGAAGAGAAGAAGCAGCTCTGCAGTCTCCGGGATCAGCTTAAACCAATGGAACAGTTCGATCAAAAAGAGGTAGGCCACGCTCATTAAAGGTTGTTTGACGCGCATTTTGGGGGATAAAGCTGGATTGTTTTTCGATAGGCTGAGTGGATAAAATACTCCTGATTGCTATCCAGTAACACCTGGTGGAAGTCGAATGAGAACAAATGTTTCTGATACCCTTCTTTGTCGAATAACCTGCTGACACTCCCTATCTGGCCTTGTACTTGAGTAAGATATCAGAGAGCGGTCATTCTCCATTGAAGTGTACTAATATAAGAGCCTCAGCCTTCAAGAGGGAAAAATTGACACCAAAAACGGTCAGACAAGTGAGTCCAGCATTATGCCATGTCCTGTGTGGGAATATGTTGTGTGTTGCAATGAATTATTCATGTTTTGTGATGAATTCTACATGGAATAATTCATAGAATGTAAAGAAATAGTACAGTCACAGTATAGCTGAAATTGCAAAAACATATTTCAGTCGTTTACTCTAAAAATCATTTGAATCCTGATATTGTTTTACCATGTTTAAAATGCAAAATACAAATTATAGTTTATCTATTAAATGTTGAAAGATTAAAATGCTTGGTGACTTAAATTAGCTCGGAGTACTTCAGTTTGTAGTCGAGGGATATTGACTAGTACACGTTCTAAGTACTCGTATTACATTCCTCCCTTTCTTTAATTAAAAATGTTATTCCTTCCCCCATAGCATTTTCTAGCTGGGCAGGTTGGTCTTGTGCCAGTAACAGGCTGTGAGTTCATTCACCAGTAGTTTATTTTGACTGTGGAGAAGTGCCTTGCTTCTGGTCAGCAGCTTTCCCAACTGAAAGTTTTGTATGTGAAGTTGTCATCTCTCTGCAACCCACACTGGGAGCAAACTTCTTTTCTTCCATTCATATCTCCACCCTTCCTATCAATCCCACTTCTTCCTGTTCCCATCCTGCAAACTCCACAAACCTACCACGACTAATCACATTTTTCGTTTTCTTCTCCTTTCAAACTCCAGCCTTCAATAATTAAATATATCACAGTTATTGATTGTATTGTGGAGCACTTTTTATGAGAAGATTACAGTCATAACTAGTTATTTTTATCACTTTTTGCAGTAGTTAAGGCACGCTGAATTGTCTCACTGATATTGTTGGTCTATTTCAGCAGGACTCTTTGAGCCGCCAGTCTGTGTACAGCATGCACCAGCTCCAGGGAAATAAGCAATACGGCACTGAGAAAATGGGACCCCTCTATAAGAAAAGTGATGGGTTAGTATGGTTATGGTCTCATTTACTAAGGATCTACACTGGAGTTAACAAGGTTTTAAGGGGGCTGAACTGTATTAAGTTGTAGCGTTACATGTTGAAGCGCCTTGGGACGTCCTCCCGACGTGAAAGGCACTATACAAATGTAATGTTGTTGTTGTTACATCAACACTGGTTGATACAAGATAAATTCCTACAGACATAGTTTCCTCTTCCTAGATTACTACCAGCAGGTAGTTGCTGCTTATTCCTTCCCTCCCCCACCCCCCACACTCCTCTCTGTTCCCTCTCTCCATCCCCTCCCCTCTGGCAAAGGAAAGTAAAATCCCAACATTGTGCTCATGCTTCCCCTCAGTATCAGAATCAACTAAATAAACTAGCAAGAAGGGTAATAATTAGCCCTCACTCATTTTTGGACTAATCAAAAAGATTGATGTGGTCATGCAGACACCATCTGCTTTCCTGCTGTTCAATCCAGAAAGGAGGTGGTGCACACGAGTAACAGAAATCGAAGCATGGTGGCTTACAGTCTGTAATTCCTAGAGCTCTTACTGAAAGATTTATTTGGCAATAATTTGAATGTAAAAGGAACAACTGCCTTCATTTGTCAACTGCAGTAGTAGTTTTTATTATATGGTGAATGTTTTCTCCTGTTAGGTTAAGGAAGGTTTGGCAGAAGAGGAAATGTTCCATAAAGAACTGTTACCTGACCATCTCACATGGAACAGTAAGTTTGCATCCGAGCCTTCAGCTCCCCTCTCGACTCTCTTCCCCCTCCTCGCTCCCTCCCTTCCCTCCCCCTGACCATTTCCCCCCTCCTCGCTCCTTCCCTCCCCTCACCCTGACCATTTCCCCCTGCTCGGGTCCTGACCCAACTGTGCAGCGCCTTGGGACATCCTCCTGACGTGAAAGGCGCTTTATAAATGGAATCTTGTTGTTGTTGCATCCGATAGGAATCAGGTCATCTGTTTCTGGATTTGTTTGCAAGCAACTATTACTCCAATTGTAACACTTAAGGGGATTACTGACTTCTTTCTCCATTGAACCCTAAGATTAAATTCTAGAATGTTGCTAAATTTCCTAAAACCAAAGTTTACAAATAATTATAAGAATAATCGTAATTAGATGAAAATATAGAAAATAGGAAAGTATTCAAAGCATGAAATCTTTAGCAATAAATCATCAAAAGCTACAAATTAATCATTGAGTGGAATTACTACCTGAGAAATGAAAGATAAAGAATAAATGTTATTTCTTCTACTGGGCTACTGGGGGTGGGGGGGATTATAATCTAGACAAATGTGACATCCGTCCAGGGATCAAATACTGAAGATCCTACAAGATACCCAAAATAATTTCCTGGTGAAAAGGAACCACCAATGAACAAGCACTTGGGCGTTTTTTCCCCCTGGCTCAGCATCAAACTCCGCCAATGTTAAGCGCCCTGAGATGCTACCTCATGTGAAGGGCATTTATAAATACAAGGTGGTGGTGTCTACATTGTGAATGTGTGGCAAAAAATAGTGTAATGGGCAAGGTTCAAGATCCTGTTTCCAGATTACTTCTCCCCACTAAAGATAGCTTCAAAGCAAAACCATCTTTCTTAAAAGATTTGCTGTCAAAATATTTCACTATAACCAATAACAAAAGATGTTTCTGTTCAAAACGTGACTAAAATTGTATAACTTGCTGACATGAAAACTTGCCTCACGCATTTTCAAGGCACATACCACAGCAAAGAATGCCAAGACGAGCAATCATTAACCAATCTGTCTTACTAAGAAAAACGAGAAATGACAGACTAGACAATTATTTCTAAAATAATAATTAAAAATCAGAAAAACAAAATATTTCAAGATTCAGATCCCTAACAATTGACTGCCATCGGGGTGCTATGTAGTGTGTTTATATTTTCTGATTTCCAACCTTTTCTGTTATGTTTGCTCACTTGCTTGAATGGCCATGCATTCCATACATGTTTGAGAGGGAAAGAGATTGGTTCCAATGATGGTATGTTTGTCTCCAGAGTAAAGGGATAGAGGTTATTGGTCTCTTCCTCACTGTGTCAGAGACTAACACTGAAAAACACAATTCATACGTTAAAAGTTTGATGAGCAAATTTATATGGGATTATCATCCAGATCCCTTTATTTAAGTAGTGTACGGCTACTGGAATTTCGACCCCCAATTCTTTAGCTATTTACACCAAAGTACACCATTTATTGACTTAGGTTTTACTTCTCTATCTGAACTACGTCTTGTTGCTGATACTAGGGGTTGATGGATATAAACTGATATACAGGTGTAATAATTCAGATTTTTTCAGTCTTGGTGTTTATCTTTTGTTTCATTTAGCCCAACCGACAACCAGCAAAGCTCAACCTCCTGACCTGTCAGGTGAAGCCCAATTTGGAGGATAAAAAATGCTTTGACCTCATCTCACGTATGTGCTGCCATTTTGATTTATTTCCTCAGTTTGTGCGTGTGAATTCTGTGCTGTCCATCACTCCATAATGTTGATTGGTATAAATGTTTAGTATTGGCTTACCAGCCTTTTATAAATGTTGTCTTTATAGCTCGAAGTTTTTAAATTCACAAATACTTCTATAATTCTATCACCACAGATTGTTGATTTCAGTACACCATCTGCTGTACGTGTCTGCTGTCACGAGATCCCCACTGAACAAAATTGCAATCGCAACACAATCTCCCCTGACAGCTGGCAAATAACTATTAAGAACAACTTTAGACTCTTAAGATAACATCACTTTCTGACATTAGAGGGTGTACTTAGAACTATACTTCCATGGTACTTTCATGGCACAATGTCTTGGGTGAGGGCAAGAAGGCAAAAGGAATAGAGGAAAAATAATTGGTGGAAATATAAAAATCAGATCTCAAGAAAGTAAACTGTTAAGTAGAAACTTGCCTTGTAGCAGGTGATGGAAACTGATAAAACAATCTCACTGAATAATCTGTAAATAAATGTGGAAGCCTATAAAACATAAGATGGAAGGGAGGATCAACTCCGAGGACAGAATATTCATAGGCTTGCTATTTGGGGACATAAATTTGGGTCAAATATCACATTTGTTGAAGTGTAACCTATTTTTAAGAGAAACATTCTAACACAAATTGAACTTGAAGTTGTCTTGCCTTTCATTACAGAGTTTACTTCATGTAGGTCAGTAGTATATTTATTTCTCAAAGGTAAGCCAGCCATAGAATTCTGGAGTGACTGAGCCATGAATTACTGTCTGTCTCAGGAGGGAAAGTACAATTCATGCCATTTCTCAAATGATTGCTGTTAACAGTCAATATTTTTTTCAGTGTAATGTGATAGTTTTGTTTAAACAACTTTTATTTTCATACGAAGGACCAGATGAATGTTTGTAACTACGTCTGGTATTTTGTAGTTTTAAGACAATGACTTCTAAAATAAAAGATGGCAATGATTGGTACAATATATTTTATTGTGTTTCAGATAATCGCACATATCACTTTCTGGCAGAGGATGAACAGGATTGCATGGCGTGAGTAGAAAGTGGTCTAATTATGGATGGTTGAGCGTAGATAATGAAATACTTGGGAAAATTTCAGAGCTGTTGCGTATTCCAATTCAAATAATGTCATACTGTGAGAGCCAAGTTTGGATTTACACAATCATCTAACCCCGAGAGTGTGTTTATAGCACTCAGCGCTTTCCCAAATATAGCCTGCAGTTTACTTTGATTTTTTTTTGGAAATAGTAATTGCAGTACAAAGACTAATTTCCGCAAACCAATTACTGGCCTTGGTGAGATCAGATCACTGAGCACAGAATGGGAATAGATCCTACCTGCAACCTACTGGTCAGCACTAAATGGTGACTTCAATCACTGTTGTATCTACTGTCATAATTGTTTGCATTTTATATCCAGGTGGATATCAGTTCTAACTAATTGCAAGCAGGAAGCTCTAAACATGGCTTTCCATGCAGAGCACAGTGGTGGAGAGAACAGCATTGAAGACCTAACTAAAGCAATCATTGACGATGTCCAACACATGCCTGGAAACAGCGATTGCTGTGACTGTGGAGCAGCAGGTGAGAAGATTGCAGTGAGAAAGTGAAGTTGAGTCATACTGCTTTAGTTTGTGTGTTTTGCATTGGTGTTTGTGCAAAAGGGTACAGAGCTTGTTAAACAGTGAACGTGCACTGGTGTGGTAAAGGATTCTCTTAACAGATTTTAATTTAGGTAGAGTGCTTGGGGCCATGGAACAATATTGTGTGTAATCTGTATCTCAATCAAATTTAAATGTTTTTTTGGAGATCACTGTTTTATTTCTTCCGCTACAACAAGCACAGAAGCATTCAAAAGTTACTGTCAACTTTTCCTGCCCCTGTATGATGCAACAAGCAATTCTGTCTATTGCTTTATTCCCTGTTTTATTGTGTCATAGTGAATGCAAAAAAATTTCAAAAGCTGATGAAAGACATCAAATATCACTGCATACACTTTCTTTACAGGACCAACTTGGATTTCTACCAATTTAGGAATTCTGATATGTATAGAATGTTCTGGGATTCACCGGGAGCTGGGAGTGCATTACTCCCGAATCCAGTCCCTCTCACTGGACAAACTTGGAACTTCTGACCTCTTGGTAAGATTTTTTGTAATTACAACCATCCTGTTAAATCACTGTTATGGGATCTTTATGGAATCTCACCATGTTATAACAGGGCTCCACTGCACGTACACATGCTATGGTGAGAAATGTCGCCTTTCAAATCAAATTTGTTGCGATAATTATCATTCTACTATTTTAGTGAATGAAGTGCTGTATCTTAATTCAAAACCCAAAGTAAATCTATGGTAGGTTTTATATCCTTAAAAATAGCTGATCCTTAGCCGCAATGCAACATTCCTGCCTTTCACCCAAGCATAATAGGCAACTACAATCTTTCCATACTTTAGTGGAATATGTTGGAATGTTCTATTTTCCTTTGTTTTGGTATAAATTGGCTATAATTTTTTCTATCCTTTAAATAATTTTAGGGAAATACAAATTATGTGGGATTTCCCCTTAAATCCTCAAAGGGCTAATGTGCAAATCCAATCCGAACTTTAGGATAATTTGACAGTGTGTCTTCTCTGGTTCTTATGAAAGAACACCTGGATTTCATCTTAAAGATTGTTGATGTGAGAAATGTGGTGCTGTGTGAATAAATTTCTGTAGCAAGGAATTTGGGAGTACAGCTTTAACCTGCCTCAGATCAGTTTATGCAGGGTTTGTGTTAATGAATTTGTGACCTTAATAATAATAATAATAATATTCCTTGCATTTGAATGTGTGACCTTTGTGTTTATTTTCCAGCTGGCAAAGAATGTTGGAAATTCTGGATTTAATGAATTTATGGAAGCAAATCTCCCAAATTTATCATTAAAACCAAGTACAGACAGCGCCATGTGAGTAGTAAATAAGAAACACAAACATCGATATTCATTTACAGATTACACATGTTCATGTTTACACATCACCCTTACCTTGTATTTATTTCAAGAGAAAAGAAGTAAATGTAACAAAACATTAAATATTGAGGGTAAAAATGCTGTTTGTACTTTCCTTCAACTTAAATGTTCTTCCTTCCCCTTTGCCTACAACCACATAATGCATCTTTCTCTGGCTGAAAGAGATGGCTAACGGCATACTCTGCACCGGCCTCCAGTAGTGCATGGAGCTCCCGATTTTTCTTTCCTGCCCTGTGATAAACTCCTTGATATCTGGAACTGGATGAGTCCACTCCTGTAAAACCTATTATCCTATATGTATGATACTGTATTTATTTGTTTTGTGCTGAACAATAATTAGGTTTATTTTTCACTGAAGGGGATACAGCCTGACCAAGCATCTGTGCAATGCCATTACACAGGTCCAGTCATGCCTTTTCAATATCAATGTCAATGAAATTTGGATATTTGTCCTCCGTTCTCATTTCAACAGATCTTTACCCCAATCTAAATTCATCTTAATCTATGTTTTAAAGGAATGTAAGGAAAGATTACATTGTCGCAAAATATGTGGATCGTCTATACGTGAAACAGATAAGTGGCACGCCTGCGTCAAAGTTGAATGATTTGTACTATGCTGTGAAATGCAAGGATATATTTGCACTGATTCAGATCTATGCAGAAAAGGTCAATCTTAGTGAATCACTGCCATCATTTCTCCAGGTAAGGATGACGCTGACCAGGTAAAATGGGCTGTGTTTGAATGCTCCTTTGGAATATGACGTGTACTGTTTCATTTTTCTAAAATAATTTAAAATTCAAAATGCTGTATATACAAAAAAATCTACTTGGTGAATATTCTATTAAATATGTTAATTATTTTTACGCTGTGTCATTAGTTAACTGTTATGCAAGTGTTTGACTGTATAATCATTGTTTGCCAAATCCAGTAGTCAAGAATCCCTTAGATATCTTATTCTGCAGTTGAATTTTAAGGAGCAACCTCCATATCAGTGATTTAGATATAGATTTAGTGACCTAAATCACTCATCTTGACCAACAAAATTAATTTTCTTGATTGAATATTTCTTGATTTATCCCATTAATCAAGAAATATTCAATCGAGGAAAAACTGATCACTACTGATCGAATACGGACTCGCCAGGCTCATGTGCATGTACTACTTGACGGACCCATGCGAGGTCACAGGTTGGTCACCATTGCTCTAAATTAACTGTGACCCTATTGTGTCTGCAATGCTGATTGTGGGTGGGACTTGTTGAGCAGAGAGAGAGAGTTATTACCTGACCTGGGAGTGCTTAATTCTGACACTGGATGCCTGAAATGAAAATGCTATAATTTTCATAACATGTCCCTTGACGAGCACAAAAATATAATCAAACGAATCCAGAGGCGAAAAACAATGACATTATTGTAATGATGTTCACTGATTGTGTTTTAAACCCTTGTCTGTGTATGCTTAATTTATAGGAACCAGGAGAGACTGCTCTTCATCTTGCTGTACAGCTAGCCGATCGGACCTCCTTACACATTGTGGACTTTCTTGTGCACAACTGGTAAATTACATTTGCACATCTACCTATTTGTGATAAATCATCATTGTAGGAAATATATTACTAACACCAATATATTACTAACATCCACTGTCAACTACAAAAGAAAATCCGTTCTCTAATGAAGAGCTTTGGGTTGTCCGCCTGACATGAAAGGCGTTATACAAGTGTAATTTGTTATTGTTGTTGTTGAAGAACAGAAATTGCAGTTGGGGATAGAGCTAAATTATTGACTTACAGATAGATCTCTTTTAGTTGAACAGAAGTATATTGCAGTGTCATAAGTTTTACCTTGGGATGTTCCCCTGATGTGAAAGGCGCTATCCAAATGTAATTTGTTATTGTTGTTGTACCCATTTTTACTGGGAAGTTCTGGAGATGCTATTTTGTATAGCATCCTAGCAATCCCTTCGGATTGTATCCTGAATTAAGATTATCTACTAGAATCAGCAATTTTGTCGCTACTAGAATTGTGATGCTTGTTTGGAAAGGGAAGGGGGAAAATAGTGGCTATTTTGGCGAAGATATAAACCCTCTTCAGAAGATTATGTCATTAGGAACGGTGAGAGACAGCATGATAGTAACTGCTTAGAACAACCTGCACTAGACTCCTCCAAGTATCAGAAATAATAATAATCTTTACATTTGATATAGCATCTTATCAAGTCTTCGAGACGTCTCAAAACATTTCACAGGATATACTGTGAATCGACCATATATTTTGTGGGCAAATATTCAGTCTAACGATATTGAGAAGATGTTACATTTTTTTTTACAAGAATTGCGAATAAGATTATAAGAAAGAACCAAAACTGCAATATCTTTATATCCACTCAATTTTTCATATATAATAAGAAGCAAGCAGTTAGAGGTTTTTGCTTCTTTTTCATCAATTGTTTCAATGAAAACTGAAGTGGGGAAACAACTTCAACTTTTTCTGAAGGAATGAATTAAAGAAGTCTTGATCACAGTCAATTGAGCTAAGAGTATTATGAAGTAGAGCATTTGTGCTTTACTTTCCAAAATATACAATAAATTCATTTTACTGTGAAGCCCTTTGAGACATCTCAAAATCAAATGCAAGGATTATTATTATTAAAAATCATTCATTTTAGTGAGCTCTTTGTCTTGGGACAATGAGCACGGAATATTTGAGGAATTTTCTTTTTGTCTTCTAGTGGAAATCTCATGAAGCAGACAGTGAAAGGAAACACAGCTGTTCACTATTCCTGTTTGTTCAATAAAACAGAATGTCTCAAATTGCTTCTGAGAGCCAAGGCCAATGCCAGTATCCGTAAGTACTTCATAGTTTGAGTGCAATTTGTTTTAGCATTCTGAGAAGTGCATTTGTATTGTTGTAATATATGACTTTTGATGAGTGTCTCTTAAGCAGTCAGAAGTCAGGAGTTTGTTTCAAAATGATAAGAGTATACATGGGTCAGATGTAAGCAGGCGATTTGACTTTTTCCGCAGAGCATGTCTCTCTCCAGGAGAGAGTGCGCATTCCATTCCAACAATCTATCTCTGAGATTTGTGGGTGGGATGCATAGAAATCTCAATTTGGTTTGGATACGCTTAAGCATGGTAATGGGTTTCCACACGTGTCAGACCAAATTTTGTTTTAAAAAATGTCTCAAGCTTCTCATTATTATCGTTAAAGGGGAAATCTTTCCAACTGCTTACTCTTAACACTTGCACTATTCTGATCATTAATCAGTGCCCTGTTTATATTGTTGACTACTTGAAAACTGATTGAACAGAACCAGTTCTGAACTGGTTTCTGAGTGCTGGGATTCTGCCATTTTTATGTTGCGAGGTAGAATCCAAAGTCCCAGCGGGAAATGGAATTAAAACCTGCCCTTTCACAGTTTACAATTTACAAATTGTAATTTAGGCCAGAATGTTTTTTCAGTCTATGGGTGTCTGAACAGAGTGATGCCATCACATAAAATGCACTCACTCTGTAACATGATCTCTGTTGTACACCCTTTTATTCACTTTTTTAATGTTTGATCCTGTACCAGCCAATGAAGATGGAGAGACTGCCATGGACATTGCTCGGAGACTGAAAAACCACAACTGTGAAGAGCTGGTATGAAGTAGACCAAGCTTTTACTACATATAACGGAGATTAATATTCTTTGCCCTGCCCCAGCTTGTCAATTCAAGTCAAAGTTGACAAAGAAATTAACATTAATAACATTAACATAATGAGAATGATTCTCTGGGATTTTAAAAATAATTTCTTTGATTGAATTGCTCAGTTGGTGAACGCACTCCAGGATGTGTTCTGAGACATGGGGACAGGGAGGAGCCAGTTTCAATCCAGTTACCCACTTGGGCAGAGAGTGGGTGCAGATGTTAAAATAGAGGAAATAAATGTGCACTGATGCCCATTGTGCCTGTGCCAGTATATAAGCGGTTGTTAGTCGATTGGTGACTTGCTTTTCTGGGAGGAATTTTTAAAAAATATAATATAATTCGGTCACTCAATTCACGACTGTTTGTGGGACAGTGCTGTGCACAGTTGGCTGCTGTATTTCGCCCACAAAATATACAGTCAATTCACTTTGAGATGATAAAGCGCAATATCAAATGCAAGGATTATTATATGATGTATAAAGACTGAATAAGGTTCAGCTGTCAGCTAGTTTATCATTCACTAACCAGGCCGATATGAATGAGGAATAGATGTTTGAACATGAAAAAAAAATTCTTATTGGCACCATAAATCAGCGTCAATCAGCAACACTGCCTTCTGGAGGGGTAAGATGAGAAGAAAATCAGGATAAATTGAAACAAGAATAATTAAGTGAAGAATCTTACCTTCTTTGAGTCTTTTATATCCTTGAGTTTACCATGTCCTAACACTTGTCACATTACCACGCAGTAATTTATTGCTTCATTTTAATCTTGTGCTGTTTGTATTAAAGCTATCTCAGGCAAAATTGAACCAATTTAATTTGCACATGCACGTGGAGTATGAATGGCGACTACGGCAAGATGACCTATTTGAGAGTGACGATGATCTAGATGAAAAGGTGAGTTCTTTTGGTTTGTATAGCTATTTTGATTTGGCTCCACCGCTTCATGTTTTGCTCTTTGACTGCAGCTTTGCTTATTTCTCTCCGAACACTTTCTCCCATCCTGCTCAATCTCCCACTCTCTTTCTGCAGTTGAAATGGGGAAATATTCTCCTCTGTAAATCGTGAGGAAAAGTATGATAAGACTGAAATTTTATTTGTAGTATCCTTAGCAGGCGTAGTTTTCAATGATGAGCAGCAAAAAATGTTTTAGTATCCAAATTGGTTGGTCCGAGGGCTCTAATATGTGGCGATATCTAATGGGAGCATTGGAAGCTGGGAGTACTGTGTGTCTAGTTAGCAAGGGCCCACAGTACACCCACACTGTAAGTGAAGCAGGCCTCTACAAGGGGTACTGATTTGGTTCAAAAAAAAATAATGTAAACATTGCATTCTTTTTGTTCCAATAGCTGGGACCTGTTAAGAAAGAGCGGACCCCTCGGCCTTACAGCTGCTATCAGGCTGTCAGCACACCATCTGTGGGCCGGGACAAGGCCATCAGCAGAGAGATGGCCTACTTGTCACAAGAGCGCAGACATGACCTGTTCAACCAGTCACGAAGTATGGACTCTCAAGTATTCTCTCCTTCATCCGATGGTCCACCGCCTCCTCCTAGAATCCCAATCCGAGGTTCGAATATAGTCGATTGGAGGATCGATTATCCTTTTAAAATAAATAAATAATAATAATAATTTGGTCACTTCATTCCTGACTGTTTGTGGGACACTGCTGGATGAAATTGTCTGCGTGTTTTGCCCACAAGATATACAGCCAATTCACCTACAGTATATTCTGTGAAGTGCTTGAGATGTCTCAACAACAACAACTTTCATTTATATAGCGCCTTCCACGCTAGGCGGAGTCCCAGAGCGCTTAAGAATTATGGAGCCTGATGCCAAGCCAGGGGGAGGGGGAAGGGGACCATAGGCATGGTCGAAGAGGAAGGTCCTCAGGTGAAAACTAAAAATGGGGAAAGGGGGCATGGCGAAGGGATTGAGGGAGGGAGTTCCATAGCTTGGGAGTATAGTAGCTGAAGCATGGCTGCCAATGATGGAGCGGAGGATTCAAGGGACAAGGAAGTGGCCGGAACCAGTAGAGTGGAGGCAGCGGGAAGTGTTGTGAGGAGAGAGGAGGTTGGAGAGATAAAGGGGTGCCTTTGTACACAATAGTTCTATTGAATCTTAAATATCAGCTACTGAACTCAGAATAATGGAATATTCAGTGACTTACTTAGTTACGTTATGGAGTCGAGGTGAAAGTGTTGCAATTCTAATAAACGTAATAAAAATCTAAATCCTGTACTGAGATTAATTCAAATGGTACTTGCCATGTTGCTGTTTCAGCCCCAAGTGTCCCACCTCCTCCGCCACCTCCACCTGTGCCTCTTGCTGCTGTCAGTTTTGCCGCTTCGCCCTCTATCAGTCTATCACCTAAGAAGCAGCCACCCCCGCCACCCCTGATAACCAAACACAAGCGGACCTTGTCAGAACCCACACCTGCTGTACCTCACAGTCCTCGGAACCGCAAGCAAATCTCATTTGGTATGTTTCTTGGAACTGGTAGGTAGCTAATTTTTATATTTTCTATTTTTTCCCCGCCGTTTCATTTCCTCTCCTGAAGGCAGTGAATCTGATATAGTCTCATAGGCTTTGGCAACGCATTGATGCATTGTACAAGTAACAATTCTTCCATTTGTGAACTTTTATAACTGATTTATCAATAATTTCTGAGCTTCAGTAACAGTTTAAGAACTGACATATATTCCTCATCTCAGCAGGGAAGAGGGCCATTCAGCCCCTATTTGGGAGCGATACCAAAACAACAAATCATTTCTCATCAATAGAGCTTGACTGAATTGTGGCTTTAAATATACCACAATATGTGTGAACCTCCCCAAGCCTCAGCAGCTGGCATTTTATTCACTTTTGGATTAGATAAGATTTAATTGGGATAAGTAATTGCTGTGTTTCAAACTTCTTGATGAATACAATGCTGCTGGTGACCTGTTTGGTATCACCTCCACAGTAGAAAGTTATTAACTAACCAAAGGTCAAGTAATTTCTGAACCAATATTAAAATGAATGACTCCTACCTTTTAAGTTTCCTATAACACTTACAATGTGACATTTCCCTGCAAACAGATGCTTTGCTCAGATCTGTCACTCTGAGGCCAGGTGTGCAAGGAGTTGTGCAAGAAGCAGCCTGAGGGTCTATTCTTCCTCCCTTCATGTTGGGAACTGTTGGACTTCAGTTCAATACCTTTTGTGGCTGTCTAACTCACATTCGACATTCCACGAGGATAATCCCAGGAACAAACGCAGACCCTCTGTGATGCAGCATGTAAAAACAATCTTGTTTTGCGGCTCCACATGTTTGGGATTTGCAATTTTGAAATCTAAATTGTGTGTATAAAATCCATAAAGTCTAAACCTGTTAATTTCCCAAAGCTGCTTGTTTAACATTTAGATTCTACGCCACCATCCAGTCCCCCTGCTACCGTGCTGGACATATCTTCACCAAGATCAAGGTCAGATACTCACTGAATTTTCCCTGATTTTGCTACTCTATCTTCAAACATATTTTGTTTACTTTCAAAATTCATCGAAGCAATAAATTTGCACCCAGCTGCTACCCTTGACTGGATTGTTTTTCCACAATGTTTTTGCAGGGTGTTTTATTGGGTGTTTCGTCCACAAAGTATACAGTCAATACAGTATATTCTGTGAAGCGCTTTGAGACATCTCAACAACGTGATAAGGCGCTATATCAAATGCAAGGATTATTACAACAACAACGACCATTTACATAGCGCCCTCCACACAGGGTAGCGTCTCAGAGTGCTTAACAGTGGCGAAGCCTGACTGAGCCGGTGGGGGGTGTGGAGGAGAGGTGACCGTAAGCGCAGTCAAAAAGAAAGTTTTTCAGGCGGGCTTGGAAAAAGGGGAGAGAGGGGGCAAGGCAGAGGGATTGAGGGAGAGTGTTCCACAGTTTGGTGGCGGATGGCTGAAACCCCCAATGAGGGAGTGGAGGGTGCGAGGAGGCTGGTGCCAGTCGAGCGGAAGCGCCGGGTAGTGGATTGGGGAGTGAGGAGTTCGGAGAAGCAGGGAGGGAAGGGATTTGAACACGACTGTGAGGATCTTGAAGTCGATCCATTTGGTGGGAAGCCAGTGAGCCTGGGCCAGAACTGGTGCGATGTGGGTATGGAGTTTGGTCTGGGTAAGTATGCGGGCGGCAGAGTTCTGAACGAGTTGGATTTTTTGAATAGTGGAGCTGGGGAGATCGCCGAGGAGTGCGTTTGAGTAATCCAGGCGGGAGGTGACAAGTGCATGCACGAGGGTTTTGGCTGCATTTGGGGTAAGGTATGGTCGGAGGTGGGCAATGTGACAGAGGTGGAGGAAGTCGTTCCTGATCAGGGATCGGATGGGGGGGAGGAAGGACAGCTGGGAGTCGAACCGGACACCTAGATTGCACACTGGTTCGGTGCGTCTGAGGGAGAGCCCAGGGAGGTTGAGGAGCTTAGGTCCGCAGGAGTGAAGACTTTGACGGGAGCCAAAGAGTATGGCTTCTGTCTTGTCCACATTCAGCTGCAGGAGGTTTGCACTCATCCAGGCCCTGATGTCTGCCAGACAAGCTGATAGAACATCAGCGGATGGCCTCCTAACCCCCTACCATCCTGCTCGCTCTTGGTCCCTCCGGTAAGCGGGCTCTGGTCTGCTTCACTTCCCCTGCCTCACCTGCCCCACCATTGGTGGGGGCCCTTCTGCCACTCTGCCCCCACACTCTGGAACTCCATCCCGCAGTCCCTCCACCTCGCCCTCTCCCTTGCCTCCTTCAAGACCTGTCTCCCGACGTGAAAGGCGTTATATAAATGTAATTTTGTTGTTGTTGTTGATTCCTCAGTTTTGTTCTGTCCTTGGAGAGATTTTTATTCTCCAGTCCAATATGGTAATAGAAAATATTTCCTCTTTATTCCATCTAATTATTTATGTTTTGGCCTTCAGTTTAGGGTCTCCAAAAACAATATCACCTGGTCTCCAATCTCTTCCAGAGCAACCAGAAACGGGTAAGAATAACACTGCAGTTCTTTGCGTCTGGCCATACCTCCAGCAGGCTTCAAATATACGTTCCACACATATAACGTTTGTGTCAAATATATTGTACAATGTTATCTTAATTTTTTTTGTATTCCCTTCGTAGCTGCCTCAATTGGGTCAACTCTACCAATCGAGCTGAAATGATGGGACAAACCAATCTTTTCAATAATTGTAGCTAGAGTTATACAGAAGCATACCATTTTTTTTTACAGTAAATATACTCAAGTCCAGTGCTTTGCTGGAGTAAAATGAAAATACTGTTTGAGAGAGAGCTACTGGCACGCAAAGTATAATCCTACAATTTGGGATCTGGTGTATCAAAAAATCTTGGCATGGTACTCATGCCAAAATTTGGTTACAATGATTGTATGAAACTACTCATTGACAAGTCAATTATACACTGTAGTATTTTTATAACCCTTACTGCGAGGTTAGATCCACTGCGATTTTGTTTAGAAGTCATCTGGCAACTCATTGCTGACAATGATGTTTTAATCTGACCCCTTGGCCTGATTACTTGAACAAAATTGGATATTTAACACATTTTTGCCAGCACCATAAATCGGCCACAATTTGGATTGTAGAAGTCAGACATTATTACATCTGGTATTAATTTATAAGACCATTTTTTAAAAAAAACTGTTGTGGAAGATTCTTAAATTTATTCTTAATTTGGAAGCCGTTTTTCACAATTCTTAAAGAAAAACACCTTTCAAATTAAGACTATTTTTTAAAAATCCAGATCTCCTAGGCTGATGGAATTTAGGGAATTTCCAATCTGTCCAGTTCACTGGCATCCAGGATTCATGGCAGTGGGGTCTAACTTGTATGATTGCTTAAAAAAAGCTAAACAGTAACAAAAATAGAACTGTGTAAAGTAATCCCCATTACACTTAACCTATCAAAGAAAGTAATCTAGCAAAAGGCAAAATACAGCAGATGCTGGAAACAGAAGTCGCTGGGAACACTCAGCATATCAGGCAGCATTTATGGAGAGAGGAGAATACATTTTCCTCTCTCCATAGATGCAGTCTAACCTGCTGAGTGTTCCCAGCGACTTCTGTTTTTATTACAGAAAGTAATTTGTTGCTTGTGTTTTTTTTTAATGCCATAAATGTAATGTGACTGAATCCATTATGTTCCAGAATTACAGAAGGATATCTATAGTTTACCCCAAAAATTCCATCATCCCAGAGAGATCGGCCAAAGGTCCCCAAGGCATACCTCTTCAAGATCCTTCTTTACAGAGCCAAATAATGATACATATGCTGTGCCTGGAAACCCGGTCCCACTTCCCCGTAAAATGACTGCGGTAAGGAAAAACAACCTGATTTTGAAAATGCCTAGATACTCTATTATATGGTTGAATAAAAATCAAAATTTTGGTAGCCTTGCCAATAGTCAGTAATTCCCATTAGATATTTTGGATTGACATTAAAGCCACAGAACAAGCAAGGAAGAATTCTGTGGAGAGACTCCAGCCTGTCAACAGATGGAGTCAGAACTAAAAGTGAAATCCTATAAAATCAAAATGCTTAATTATCAGCAGACAACATGCAGAACCCAAATATCTCATCTCTCACGCCAGTATCTCTCACGAGCAGCTGTGTACATCATATCTGTTCCTCCCAGCTGTTCTCAATGATGGAGACCTTGACAAATGTGATTATGTGTTTGAGAGATGGCATCAACCCCAATTAAACTTTGGAAACACCAATTAAAATTGTAAAGACCACTGGAGTCTTTCTCTGATCTCAAAATGTGGCTGAGGGAGTTTAAGTTTTGGCACATTTTCAAGATGAACTATTTTGCAAACTTGTACAGCAGAATCCAGTAGTTTGTGATACTATATTCAGCAAACCAAAATGGCTGCTATCCAAATTGTTCTGAGTTAGCTGAGTTCAATTGACCAATTTGCCCCATTACTAAGGTAGAGAAACTACCATTCTAGCTGTAATATCAACCTTCCCAGCCCCCCCTGCTTCCAGTTAAATTGCCTTACAGCTTGTGTTGTAAGTCTTATAACTTATGTTTCTAGTATTGGGACTATGTTGATTCCAGGGATGCCTGGTAAAGTATCTTCTCAATTCCTCTCTTTCGTTGTGGTACACTACCATTCTACCTGGATGATTTTTTTGCTCTTTTCCAAATTCTATGTGGATGATGGTGAATCAACACTATTATAGAGGGGGAAAGAGCGAGCTAATTCATTAGTGCAGGTACTAATCCTAATAATGAACCTATTTTCAGATCAAGCCCAAAATTCGCAGGGGAAGAGCCATTTACAATTGCACAGCAGATCATGCTGATGAGCTGACCTTCTCAGAAGGAGAAGTGATAGTGGTAACTGAAGAAGATGACCATGACTGGTGGGTATGTATCTATCCAATGCGTCTCATGCCAAACAAAGCATGTCAACATGCTTCCATTTTAAAATGTTTCAATTTGGCTGCTGCACTTGAGGCTTTGATTGAGTCATGATTCCTTCCCAGCTCTGAAATAGTTGCGGGCTAATGCAATCAATCCTCATTGACGGCTTTCCTTCTCTAGTCCTAGTTTAATAATAAGGCTGTGTACTCTAAACTTCTCCCCCACTCCACCCCCTTCATCCTCAAGCCAGATTATAAAAGATTTTTATAATTTCAATCTTGTGTTGTGAACCAGACACAGATACTGGTGGAAATGGAACTGGCTGTTATATACCCCCACCCATCAGCAGCTGAGGGTTCAACCACCGTACCCAAATCTCTTTATCTCACACGATCTCCAATATTCTAATAAATAAAGTTACCTCTTAGACTGTGCCTTCATCATGTGCCCCCCTTCTCCCTTCTGCCTACCTTGCTTGGTATTCTACGTAATCCCTGTAAAGAGTTTTGCAACATGAAAGGCTAAGTGCAAGTTGTTCTTGTTTCCAAAAATCAAAGTTTAAGCGTTATCTTCAAGCTAAAGAAACGGTAGATTACCATCAAAGTAATAATAATAATAATAATAATAATAATCCTTGCATTTGATATAGCGCTTTTCACGTCAGGAGGACGTCCCAAAGCGCTTCACAGAACACACTGTAAAGTGAATTGACTGTATATTTGTGGGCGAACGCGGCAGCCAATTGCGCACAGCAATGTCCCACAAACAGTCGTAGATTGAAAATGACCAATTTAATTATTGTTTTTGGTTTTTTGGAGGGATTATTATTAGGCGTGTGGAGTAAGGAAACTTGCCCAAGGTTTCGCACTGACTTTTTAATTGAATTCTATTGTGTACAATAGATCAAGATCTACTAGCTGCACTACTAGTAGTTTTATCATTTAAGGCAAGCAAAGCTTTTGCATGCTACCACATGCAAAACCTTTGCTTGCCTTAATGGAAGTTGCATTTCTTAGTCATGAAATTGACATGTTAAAATGACAGTTACTCATGACATCCACTCCAAAAAATCCACCTGCTGACTGTGCACAAATGCAGTTGTGTGACTCCGTTACAGCAAAAAAATTCAGTGTTCTCCCAAGACGTCAGAATATTAATCTGACTAAATAAATTATCATGTAGTAATCGTTTTTTTTCTCTCTGTCCTGACAGAACGGCTACATTGAAGGACAGCCTTGCAGAAAAGGACTTTTTCCAGCATCTTTTATCCACTTGCTAACAAGCTAATGGCCCCCCTTATTGATCTCCGGATGATTGAGGGAGAGGGTGGGGGGGGGCAAAGCTTTTTTGCTCTTTCTAAATTATTTACTCCTTGGAGCTCAAGATGTCTGTTATTTTCACTGGAAGCAATCATTGTGCAAAATCGTCTATTATGATTGTGAAGAGTGATTCCAGAGTCCATTCAAATGCCGAAGTATGTCTGCCAGTGAGGAGAACTGAGGAGCCAAACCAAAACCAAGAAGTGGTCAGTTCAGTGTACCTCCTCTTAACGGATCACCTATGGGAGCAAACCAGCCTGGTTCTTTGAGGCGGGTGGCTGTTTAATCAGTGTGACTGTCTTGCTGTAATTTGCTTGTATTTGTTTTTTTTAATCTCATTTCCAGCTAGTGATGTTATTTGGTTTATATCTTTGAGGATTTGCAATAGTTACCGGACACCACTGGGTGGGAACCAATAGAGAAGCATGCCTGGTGTGAGATGCTGGTGCTGGGCAATGGTCAGTACATGACGTTACTGAGTGGTTTCAATTACACAACGTACAAGACCACATCACGATGAGCCTTATGTACAAGTTAGTCAACTGTAACGGCACAAGTAGCATCCCGAGAGGCAAGGCAGATCATGGAAACAAATTGTGATAAAAATAATATATATATATATAAATGTGTAATCAAAGTATGTTCATGTTAAGCAATTTACCAAAACAATAATTAGTATCATTTACTCCAGCTTTAAAATACAATAGACTTGCAATGATCAAATCCTGTTTACCATACTGTGTGTGTGTGTGTACATGGGATAATGTGGATAATAATTTAAATTTACAAATAATTTAAACTTCCCCACACATCCAGGGATGGGGGAGCGGTGGTGGTGAGGGAAAGTGTTTGTGGTCCTATCTATCCTGGAAAAAACACGAGTAATGTTATTGGCTGGAGAAGATCTTTTAACATCAGCTTGGAGAATGAGCTGTGGATTCCCTTTGAAGATGGGATTAGTCTATTCTCAGTGAAACAATCAGGAAGTCCACAGCTCCCTGTGGAGTTTAACATAGTAACATCAGGAAAGGGATCTGGGAACAACTCCCACCTCTCCTGGTTGTATTTTCAAACAGATATACTGCAGTCTGTGATGGGTCAATCAGAAAAGTATCTGTCCAAAATTCTTGATTGCTGGCTCATGCAGTGTGCAGAATCAGCCCTCTTGAGTATGTGACAAGTGAATTGCACACTAAATCTCATTTGGAATAAAGTGAAAATTTGCAGTTCTTTTGGCACCCAAGTTGCGCAGGGTTACTGGTGTCTGTGAACAGGGTCACTGGTGTGACAAACCACATTAACTGGACTGTGTCACGGCCGAGTGAGCAGCTGTTAATTCTCATGAATTCAAGAAATTTGCTCCAAAGTTAGCAAGTTGCTATTCATTTTCAGTAGAAATTGGGACGGTTGGGGTTCCTGTGTCAAGCGAGACGCTTTGCATTGTCTGACTGATATCACTCAATATTTCTGAAACTGCAATGGAAATAGTTTTGGTCACACCAGAAGAAGACCACGTTTACTAGGGTACAATCAATTCACAGCTGTCTCCAAAATGCTTGCCTCAATCTCTGATGGAGAATGTTTTTATTAATCCATCTTTCACAATATAAAATTTACAATACATTATACCCGCAATTATTAACAAATTGAGCTGTGGCCTGAGGGACCAAACTTTTCACCTAAGATCAGCCTTGTGAGACCATTTTGTCTTTAAAATTTAAGATTGCACAAAATTGTGGAGCATTCTTTGTGTGTGCAGGTGGGTGTCGGAGCACTCTGGCAATTTATTTCGGGATTTTATTTTGCACCATTTTATCAAGGAAGGCTTTGTTCAATTTGTAAACGTCTATGATATTAAAGATGGTAATAAATGCCTATTGTGTGTAAGTAAAGATTATTGAAGGTTGTGTGATTAAGCTTCATTACTGTCCCCATTTTAAATAACTTGAGATTTACGGTAGTTGAAAGTATTTGGGTATTTCTGTAAGGTCGAATCACAATAAGTGTAAATTAGAAATTGCTTGCAACAATATAATATACTGGTTATTATAACTCTGGTTGTCTGATGAGAGTAATGGAAGCACTCAATCAGCAGTCAAAATCACCATAATCAAGCATGAAATAAAATGACAAAAATATCCAGGTTTCCACCATCTCCTCATGGTTTACCTGCACAGCAACATTCTGTATTAAACGCAAGATTATTGTTCATTCTCTGCTGCCCCTCTTCCCTCTGCCCCCTTCCCGTCACCCCCCCAACTATTTCAAGAAGTAATTTTTCTCCCAGTTATCAACTTTTATTCCATATTTATCCAAATGCACAGCAAAAAAAATACAATTTAACTGGTTGTTCATCTCGTTGGTTGTAGAACTTTGCTATTATCAAATTAGTTGTTGCATTTGGTTCTGTGACACTCGTTTAACTTCTTTAATTAATCTCACTCATTTCTTTAACATAAATGGCACTGTGTAAATCTAAGAAGTTGCTCCTAACAAAAGGATACAAGTTCTTTAACTGGTATGGAAACACCCTGCTATGAATTGTCATCTGCCCCCAGCCGTTTCAGCTCCATACAGAATAGGTACCATTATAATAATTCTGCATGAGACATAGAACCTTATCATCCAAAACTCTGCAGCTCGTGTACTCTCGCTCATCAGACTCTGACTCCATCACTCCGACCCTCGCCCGACACCACTCGCTCCGTTCAGCGGGCTCCAGCCTGCTCCATGTCTCCCACACGACCCACCCTACCATCGGTGGCCGGGCTTTCAGCCTCACTGCCCCCACACTCTGGAACTCCATCCCACAGTCCCTTTGCCTCGCTTCCTCCCTTGCCTCCTTCAAGGCCGGTCTCAAGACCCTTCTCTTCGATCGTGCCTTCAGTCGCCCTCCTAACTCTCTGCCTTACCTCACCCCTACACCATCCCTCCCCCATGCTTGGATTTTGACCCCTGACTGTCCAGGGCCTTGGGACCTCCTCCCAACGTGAAAGGCGCTCTATAAATGTCATTTTGTTGTTAGCACGTCATTGAGATATAACAAATCACATTAGTGCCTTTCACGTCAAGAGGATGTCCCAAGGTGCTGGACAAGCACTGAGTGCCGTGACAGTGGGTCCCCAGGAACGAACTGAGAAAGTATCCATTCCATTTTTCCCAAACTGCCTTTGCCAACAACACTAAGAAAAGGTCTCACTAATAAGGCTCAGTAGCCAAAATACTTGTGAGAACAGTTCAGGGTGACTGGCAGTCTTGATTTCTCTTCCCACACTCCCTTACAGTGAGGAAGCTTTTCTCTCAGCCTTTCGTCTCCCTGGAATAGGAATCCGATAAGGAAAACCGCACTGTATGGCTAGTATAAGCCTTTTATATTGACCTTTCAGATGATTATCCGATCAGGAGTGACCAAAACCACAGACGAGGTGGAGTCTGAATACCCATTGGTATCTGCAAACTCTGGCCATTAGCCGGTTTATGGGAAGCATTATGTCAAAGTGGGAATCCGTCTCTATAGGCAATGGAGGTAATGCTAATGTTTCAGATCAGATCGAGACATGGTCTTAAAATTACACCCAAGCTATTTGTGAATGAGATCAACTAACATTCCTTCACCCAGAGGGTTGCGAGAATGTGGAAATACACAAAGGCAGCAATAAAATGCCGAATCCAACAGGAAATTTCACATTGGAAAGATCAACCACATTCCTAACAATCAACCACATTCCTACAAGTACACCTTTCTGCTGAAACTCTAGTTCATGCCTTCATCACCTCCAGACTCGACTATGCAAACGCCCTGCGTGTCGGTCTTCCCAACTCCTCCCTCCACACACTGCAGATAATCCAGAACTCTGCAGCCCGTGTCCTCTCCCGCACCAAACTCCGTGACCCCATCTCTCCCATTCTCGCCCGACTCCATTGGCTCCCTATCCTTCAGAGGATCCAGTTCAAGATCCTGGTCCTCACCTACAAAGCCCTCCATGGCCTCACCCCACCCTACCTCTGCGACCTCTTAACCCCCAATTAATCCTCCCGCTCCCTCCGCTCAGCCGCTCTGGCTGCTCCACGTCCCCCGACCCACATGCCCCACCGCTGGCGGGAGAGCCTTCAGCCACTCTGCCCCCAACCTCTGGAATTCCATCCCCCAGTCACTCCGTCTCGGCCCCTCCTTAGCCTCCTTCAAGTCCTGCCTCAAGACCCTCCTCTTCGACCATGCCATCGGCCGCCCCCCTTCCCTTCCTTCTCCCCCCCTGCCCCCCCCCCCCGAACCCCAGCTCGGGTCTGAAATGCTGGGAGGTCCTCCTGATGTGAAAGGCGCTACACAAATGTAATCTTGTTGTTGTTGTTTCACATCAAAATACTCAAATTAAAATAATCTATTTCTGTACTTTTAAAGATACTCACACTTTCCCTTTATAGTACTATTCAGAAACATGATTTCCTGACATCTGCTACTAAATCAATGTTTAGACGATGAGAACATGAACCACAAGGTATGGTTTTTAAAAAGTCTCGGAACAGGCTGTGTGTACACAGTGTATATACACCGCGTGCAGTTACTGTTACACTATGTATGTGTTTAGTGTGTAGTCACTACTGTGTGTGTGTGTGTACATACACTATATAGTCACTATATACTATATATTAAGGTATGTATAGTTATGTTGTTCATATATAGTGCGTATATTTATATATACAATGTGTATAAACAGTGTATATTTATAGGGTGTGAGTACAGTGTACATATAGTATATACAGTATATTACTGAGTTCACTAGGATTATTATAGTTTATACAGTGTAAATATTGCAGTGTGTACACAGTTTGCACAGTGTGTACACTGTAGGGTTGTCAATATTACAAAGGATTTGTGGTACTGTAGCATTATCAATAATAGTTTATACAGTATATTACAATATTATTACACAGTGTATATTACAGTATTACACTATTATTACAGTATGTACACTAGTATTCTTACTGTGTACAGTTATTATTACAGTGTGTACACTAGTAATTCTTAGTGTGTACACTATTATTATTACAGTGTGTACACTAGTATTCTTAGTGTGTACACTAGTGTTATTACATGCGTCCACTAGTATTATTAGTGTGTATACTATTAATACAGTGTGTACACAGTAATATTATCACAGGGTGTACATTACATTATTAGTATATATCAGCACTTATTATAACAGTATGTACACAGTAATATTATACAGTGTGTACGCAGTATTATTACTCTATGTGCATACAGTATTATTACTCAGTGTGTACAGTATTATCACTGTGTGTACAGTATTATTACTCAGTGTGTACAATGTTATTACTCAGTGTGCACAGTATTATTACTGTGTGCACAGTGTTATTACTCAGTGTGTACAGTGTTATTACTCAGTGTGTACAGTGTTATTACTCAGTGTGTAGTGTTATTACTCAGTGTGTACAGCAATATCACTCAGTGTGTACAGTATTATTACTCAGTGTGTACAGTATTATCACTCAGTGTGTACAGTATTATCACTCAGTGTGTACAGTGTTATTACTCAGTGTGTAGTGTTATTACTCCGTGTATACAGCATTATCACTCAGTGTGTACAGTATTATTACTCAGTGTGTACAGTATTAGTGTTATTACTCAGTGTGTACAGTGTTATTACTCAGTGTGTACAGTATTAGTGTTATTACTCAGTGTGTACAGTGTTATTACTCGGTGTGTAGTGTAGTGTGGAGTCCTGTAGCTCAGTGGTTAGAGCACTCGCTTTGCAAGTGAGAGACCTGAGTTCAATTCCAGGCAGAGGGCGAAACCTCGGGCAAGTTTCCTTACTCCACACAGAGCCTAATAATAATCCCTCCAAAACAAAACAATAATAAATTGGTCATTTTCAATCTACGACTGTTTGTGGGACATTGCTGTGCGCAATTGGCTGCTGCGTTCGCCCACAAATATACAGTCAATTCACTTTACAGTGTGTTCTGTGAAGCGCTTTGGGACGTCCTCCCGACGTGAAAAGCGCTATATCAAATGCAAGGATTATTATTATTATTACTCGGTGTGTAGTGTTATTACTCGGTGTGTAGTGTTATTACTCGGTGTGTAGTGTTATGACTCGGTGTGTGGTGTTCTTACTCGGTGTGTAGTGTTATTACTCGGTGTGTAGTGTTATTACTCGGTGTGTAGTGTTATTACTCGGTGTGTGGTGTTATTACTCGGTGTGTGGTGTTATTACTCGGTGTGTGGTGTTATTACTCGGTGTGTGGTGTTATGACTCGGTGTGTAGTGTTATTACTCGGTGTGTGGTGTTATTACTCGGTGTGTGGTGTTATTACTCGGTGTGTGTGTTATTACTCGGTGTGTGGTGTTATTACTCGGTGTGTGGTAAACAGGAGTGTGTGTGTGTGTGTGGAGCAAGGAAACTTGCTTAGGTTTTGCCCTGCCTGGGAACTGAACCCACGCCCTTTCGCTTGCGAGGCGAGTGCTCTAACCACTGAGCTACAGGACTCCTAAAGTCTTGTTCTTGTCCCCAGGTATACAAGTGTGTGGTGAAGAACTGCACTCAGACCTACATCAAGCTGGAGGAGTTTGTGGAGCACATAAAGAACCACGACGATGAGATCACGTATCGGTGTCACCTATGCAGCAAGATCTTCCCCTCGCTGTACGAGCTTGGGGTCCACCAGTACTCACACAGCCTGTACCCACAGCAACCCCCCAAAAAAGGCCCCACCTTCTACAGGTGAGACACTCCCAACCCACACGCACAAAACAGCCAACAGATCAACGCTGGTCTTTTATCTCCACACCAGCTGCCCAGGCTTAATCTACAGGATGTCCACAAAGTCCTGTTACCCCCATGTGTGTGTTTTTTCCCCACTGACCAACAACTGAAACTGTGGAATAATGATGATAATTGTATTTAGAACTTATTTAATTGTATTCAGTGCAAGTATTTAACTGTATGTAGATGTCCAGAGGATCGATGAGTGAGCGAGGGAGGGAGGGAGTCATCATTTTCATGGCAGATAATGATCCGTCGCCATGTTCAGTGTGACATTACTGTAACATGGATAGAGTGAGGAGGAGAAATGCATCTATGACAGCTTGTTTCATAAGAACATAAGAAATGTTAACAGAAAACAAATCAAGGTCCATCTAGTTCGCCTTCCACCTTCCTGGCAGTCGCATGCACATATGTCCCGAACTCCTTATGTACTGTATCCCATAAATGTTACTTCCTAAAAGAAAACTATCTAATCTGCTTTTGAAGAAATCAGCATTTCCTGCTTCAACTGTCTCCGTAGGGAACTTGTTCCACAGGTTCCCTATTCGCTCACTGAAATAGGACGGACGTTTCCAGTGGCGCTGAACAGTGTGAGCTCCGCAGCATTGGGAAACCCAGTATGTGTTTTACTTGCCTTGGCTCTGGGTGCCGCACAGACCAGGCTAATTCCTGTCACTGGCTTCTTCTGCAGGTGTTCCCGCTGCCTGAGTAAATATTCCACACCCGAAGCCCTGGAACATCACCTTCAAACAGCGTCTCACAACTACCCCTGCCCGCACTGCCAGAAGGTGAGCACGTCCCACAGCCATCATGGCTTCAGCCTCCAGTTTGTCCCACAGCGAAGTGTATGAGTGATCAGAACATTTATCACTAACCTGAAACTGAACCAGAACATTAAAAACACAACATGAACAAAAACACTTTCTTTGTGGTGACCGTAGAATATCCTCTGGGATAATACAGCTTTGCTGGCTGCATTAACCGGGTGTCATCTGTGTGTTGGTCTGGCTCAGCCCCTGGTACTCCTGACTCTGGGTCAGATTGTTGTGGGGTCAAAACCCACATGAGACTTTGATCTTGCAGGCCAAGCTCCAGTGTAGTGCTGAGTGGAGCACTGACTGCAGTGTTAGAGGTGCTGTTCTTCGAACAAAGTGTTAAACAGAGTATGTGTGTGTGCTCACGCAAGTGTGTGTGTGCATGGTGTGTGTGGGCACATGTGTGTAGTATGTGCGTGCATGCGTATATGTGTGTGTGTGGTTTGTGTGCGCATGTGTGTTCAGGTGATTGTTAAAGAATCTGACTATTGGAAAGAAAAAAAAGGTTTCTGGCGGTTGCCTGGCCACTAATCCTCCAGAGCATTCCCATGTGCACTGATTGCCTAAACAACATAGTCACTGCACCAGATAGGCAATGGCCTCTTTGCGATGTTTTGATGCGTTTTATATATTGGAAGTTCTTTCCGTTCAGGAAAGAGAGTTCTGTCGCGAGGGGCCATTTCTGCCATGTTCTGATCTGTTTGTCGATTGAAGGTGTTCCCGAGCGAGCGGTACCTGAGGCGGCATCTCCCGGTGCATGGTGGTGGCGGCGTCTTCAAGTGCCAGACCTGTAAAAAATCGTTCAAAACCGAGCACTACCTGAAACTCCACCTACTCATTCATTCAGGTGAGGGCTCACTCACTCGCTTGCACGCTCCACTGAGCCACCCACACACACCACTACAACTCGTCTGACTGTGAGCCCCAGCTTAGCGCTCGTGGTAATAATAATAATAATAATACTTGCACGTGATATCACATCGTTGAGACGTCTCAAAGTGCTTTACAGGGTACACCGCAACGTGAATTGACTGTATTTTGTGGATGAAACGTGGCAGCCAATTGTGCACAGCAATGTCTCACAAACAGTAATGGATTGAGTGACCAAATTTCTTCTTGTTATTTTGAAGAGGTTATTATCCCCGGAAAGTGATCTGCCAAGTCGACTAACAACCGGGTTCCTACTTATTCTGGTAAACAGGTGTGTGGAGTAAGGAAACTTGCCTAAAGTATCTCCCTACCCGGGAATCAAATCCAGATTCTCTCGTTTGCAAGGAGAGTGCTCTAATCGCTATGCTACAGGACTCAATGAGAGAGTACTCCATGTGTTGCGAGAGAGTAAAATGTTTTTGCTCCTCTGGTTTCCCGGCACAGGTGAAAAGCCCTTCAAATGCTCGCTGTGCGAGGCAGCGTTCAACCGCAAAGACAAAGTGAAGCGCCACATGCTGACCCACGATCCCATCAAGAAATTCAAGTGCCCGTTCAGGTGAGCTCTCCTCCCTCTTCAGCCGTTTCCTGTAAATGGTCAGCGCTGCGAGACGCTGCACTGCGAGGAGGGCGCTGTGTAAATCCAAGTTGTTGTCTGACGTCTCTGTCTGCTGTCTCTTCTTGACTCAGTTGGTCTGACACTCGGGTCATATGACTGTGGGTTCAGGACTTGAGCTGACAGACAGTCTTGTTTGTAACGGTTTCAGTCCAAGGCCTGAATGTAACAGGAACCTCCAGCAGGGTCGGGCTGGGGTCTGACCACAGGGCTGACAGTGCGTGTTGGGAGGCGCTGAGCTTCTCAGACCCCCCGACGTCTGTGGTGTTCTCCGTCCTGCTGAAGTTCTCCCAACTCCGACAGAACGTGCTCGGGCGAGCGCACACATTGTCGGAGGGGTTGTCCTTCAGCTCCAGGTGTTAAACTGAGGACCTGAACACCTGTTTCTCTATGTTCTATGAATGTGGAGTCAGTGCAGATCGACAGCTGCTGTGAAGTCATGTTCATCAGAGCGGTTCTGATTGAAGCTATCGCTGTCTTGTTCACAGGGTGCATTCAGGTTGCACAAAAGAATTCAACAGACCTGACAAACTCAAGGCTCATATAATCGCTCACTCAGGTGAGGGAAAAGCATTCATTCATTTATTTATAAATCTGTTTATTAATTCAGTTACACAGTCACCACCCTTTGCAGTAAATCCTGTGCAGCGCTTTGAGATGTCCTCCTATGGAGTCCCGTAGCGTAGTGGTTAGCACACTCACCTCACAAGTCTCGCCCCGCCCCGCCCCGCCCTCCCGCTGTCGGCTCTCAGGCTCAGGCTCCGCCGCCGGCCTCTCCTCGCCTGGGCCGCACGTACAGCCGATGTCCTGACGTCAGCACGCCCAGGCCTGCGTCCTTAAAGGCGCGCTCCCTTGTATTTATCCACCGCCGACAAATATTCTTTAAAGGGACAGTTGTTTTCATGAGACTCAAGAGAACCATCACACAGTCCAGTGGTCTGTCTTTGCGGTTGCCATGTGCGGGTGGGATGCTCGGGGGCCTGGTCTCCGCTTGGTTTGGATACTTTTCGCCCACAAACTATACAGTCAATTTACTTTACAGTGTAGTCTATGAAGCGCTTTGAGACGTCTCAAAGACATGATAAGGCAGTCAGGAGGAGGCGACCGAAAGCAATGTCTGTAAGTGACAGAATGTGAAGGGAAGGTCCAGATAACTGGACTTTGCTGGAAGTCACCACAGGCTCTTGTGTCTAACAGGACAACAACAACTTGCATTTATATCGCGCCCCTCACGCAGGGTAGCGTCCCAGAGGGTGCAATATCCTAACACTCAGAAACAGTCCAAACGCAGGATATAAAAAAATCTCAAAGGTTTATTTTGTCTGTTCTGGAAAAGTCAGAATTCAATAAATTTGAACTCGACTTCAATGGTTGGGAAAAACTTCGAACAAATCATGAAATTTCATCCACATAAGAGGCTATTATCAGTCTCTCACAGATGTACACACACACCACGCACACACACATCCACAAACGCACGCCTCACATACATGCATACACACAAATACATACCAGCCATGGAGAGAGACATACACACAGACACACACTCACAAGTAGGCATGTAGTCACAGACATACACAAAAATACATGAACATTAAAAAGTACACGCACAGTCATGCATGAAGAGTAAGGGAGTCAGATGGACAGCTCTATTACACGAGTTAATAACATGAGCCCTTTTCAGATGAGAAAGCCTCTGCCTCAGGATCCTGACTGTGCAGCGTCAGTGCTTTGGACACAGACTGTCAGCCACACTCTTCCTCATGGGGTTCGGAGTCCCAGCTCGGCCGGCAGCCACGTCGATAAAAGCGAGGGTGTGCTTTTAGCTAACAGTCGGCCTGCGCTGTGCTCCAGACTCTTTCACCAGGATGATCAACTCTCTCTGGATTCCTGAACTCTACGGATTGGGCGCAAGTCTTATTCTCCAGACGTCAGGGCAGAATGAAAGGCTGCGCTGCATGTTAATACTAGTTCTTTCAGTCATGATCTCTTGCCAAGTTTTTATTTACACGTTTAAAAAAAAGTTTTGTCTGTAACTTTTTCAGTCCGAGGCCTGAATGTAAACAGGAACCTCCAGCAGGGCCAGGCTGGGGCCCGTCCGCAAGGCTGACAGGGCAGTGTTGGCGGGCGCTGAGCCGTTCAGCCCCCCAGCGTCTGTGGTGTTCTCCGTCCCGCTGACGTCCTCCGACTCCGACAGAATGATCACGTGCTCCTCGTACCGCTCAGGGCCCAGCCGCGCCTGACAGGCCTCGTCTCTGCGCTCCGGCACAGGCCCGGGCACGAACGCCCGCTTGGCCGTGCGGACCACCGGCTTCTTGCGGACCCAGTAGCGCCGTTTGCGCTCTGGCCGCTCCTCGTCCCGGCCGGCGTACAGTCGGCACTTGTGCTGCTTGAGGTACTTGTCCCTGGTGAAGCCCTTGCCACAGCTGGGGCAGCGAATGCTGTAGGTGTCGGTGTGAGAGTGCTGGTGTTCCAACATGTGAGCGCGTCGGCTGAAGCTCTTACTGCAGTACTGACACTTGTACGGCTTGATTCCTGCAGCAAACACAGGGTAGCGATTAACAGGAGAATACAGAGACTCACTAACAGCAGAGACACACACATTAATAACATAGCACCTAAAATCTCAAAATATATAATAATAATCCTTACGTTTGATGTAGCGCCTTATCACGTTAAGGAAACCTGCCTGAGGTTTCGGCCCAACCGGGAATCGAACCTGGGTTCTTTT